AAAGCCTGGGTGGGATTGCTGCACCACAGCAGGAAATGGCAGTGGAAGGTAAATAACTGCAAGGAGTTTTGAATGCATGGGAGGGTTGGATAACCCAGAGGATTTTGGGCAACACTTTGGAGGCACCAGCCAGGGTTTTCAAAGGAATAGAATCAAGAGAATGGTTTGGGTTGGAAGGGACCTTTAGGATCATCTCATTCCAAACCCCTGCCATAGGCAGGGACACCTCCCACTGGAAGGTCTCCCAGCACCCCACCAGGAGCACAGCAGCCCTTGTTTAATGGTCTAACCTGGCTTGCAGAGCAGCTTCCCAGGGGTGCACTGAAAGGACAGCTGGGACTAAAGCTCTTCCCAAGCTCAGTGTTTCTATCCCATGCCCAGCTGAGCCTGACACACAAATTGGGCTGTCTCTCTGCTTGTTTGAATCACTTGGACCACACTCAGTTGGCTCTACTGGGCATCAAACAGTTGGTAAGAAGTACCTGGCCATTGTGTCTGAGAGCCAGGAAGGGACTGCAGGGTGGGAAGTCCTGCCAGTTGAGCTTTGACCCCCAAGGGAGGTGAGAAGGATGCCTGGAGATGGATCTTGAGCAGCTGAACCTCAGGTGGCTGCTGGTTGATTTGTGAATCAGATTTCTCCTGGTGCACGTGGAAAAGCAGCACCTGGGAACTGTCAGGGCAGGGATAGGTTGGATACCAGGGAAAAGATTCATCCCCCAGAGGGTGGTTGGCACTGAACAGGTTCCCCAGGGCAGTGGGCACAGCCCCAAGGCTGCCAGAGCTCCAGGAGCTTCTGGATGATCCTCTGGGGCACAGGGGGTGACTCTTGGGGATGGGGCTGTGCAGGGCTGAGGGTTGGACTCAAAAGATCCTTGTAGGTCCCTTCCAACTCAGGATATTCTGTGATTCCATGAATATCCCACAGCTGGAGGAAGAAGCAGCACCTCATCCCATGCACCCACACAAGGGGCCACCATGTGTTTCCTCAGGGGCTCTGCAAACCCAAATGACCCCTGTTTGAGTCCTTAGCAGGCTGCAAGATGAACAACAACAGGCTCTGGTCATTTAAAGCTCAGCTGCCACGACATTCAGGTAGTGAACAGCTCCAGGGGGCCACTGGGAAGAACAAAAACAAGACATCTGATCAAGGAGGACAATGTGCAGCCTGGGCTAATGACAATTTTTGTAATTGTTGTCGTTGATCCAGACTAAATTTGGCCACATCCAACCTATTCCGAGCTTTGGCCAGTTACTTGATCAGAGTCACTTTGCGGCCACACCACGCCAGTGCCACTCTGCCAAGGCATACCATGACTTCTCCAGACAACTATGATGACTATGCAATTCCATGGGAAGCTGGTGGAGCCCATCAGCCTCCTGAGCTCGTTTAACTTTGCATTGCTGGCCCAAATCAGAGCACCCTCCAGCAATCCTGAGTCAGATCCCGCTTCCTGAGCTGTTCCACAGGGAGAGCAGAATGTCTGGGAGGGAGGAAAAAGCAGGAATCTGGGGGTTTTGGCCTTTCTGTAGACAAGTCACTCTTTCCTCATGCAAAGGGGTGTGGAGACAGCTCTCCAGCTCATGGCACCACCACAACACTCTTGTCTGCAAGGCTTTATGGTCTTTGGAGGCTTAAATTAGGCTTCAAGGACAGGTTCAAGGTCAGGAATAAGGCTGAAGGAGGCACAGGCTCTCCCACAGCCACTGCACACACACCTTTTCCAACAGACTTGAAGAAAGAGGAGCACACTTCAAGTATAATTTAAAATACATTTATTGTTCCATTTGTTCTGGCTTTTTTTCTTTTTTTTTTTTTTTTTGTTATACAAAGATGTTAAATAACTTAAATACATTCTCAACAGTCACTCAGAATCAGATTTATACCTACAAGCTGTACATATGAGGTAGAGAAAAATAACTTAGGCTCCCATAAGACATTGGAAAAAAAAAAAAAAAAAACAAAACCGAAACAAAACAAAGAAAAACAAGAAAAATACTAATCCTTCATGTTAGTATTCCCACCTCCCTTTGAAAGGAAATGCCATCCCAGGTGTGCAAAACAAATCCTAGACTTTACATTCGTGTCTCGAAGGACATCTTTGGAGACTGGGGGTGGAAGAAGGGAAATTCCTGGGCTAGTTTGGGGTTGCTGCTTCAAACGGGCCCAAGGGGAGCTGGGGGGATTATCCCCATATTTGGATTAATCCTGAATTCAACCCCTGCCTCTCTCAACCTGGGTGTCCGTGTCCTTATCCCCCTTCTGTTGTCGGCAGGGAGAAAGTGGCAGCTCCACACGGGTCAAAAGACCTTCTGGAGGGACCTGACGGTGATTGCAAAGCCAGGACTCCTTGTTCAAGGAGGGAAGATTCCAGGGCTGTTGCAACCACCACCGAGGAAAAAAAAACCCCACCCTGGCAGCTGAAATTGTCTGGAATCATTTCTGGGCTGAACCTACACCTGAAGAAACGCAGCTCCAGGAAGCCAAAGTGCCCTGCAACGTCCATCTGCTTCTCCTCCCCATCCCACCAAGAAAACAGCCTGCCCAGAAAGATTTAGGAATATTCTGTTTCCTGGAACTTGTAAATAATTTGGTCAGATCCAACGTTTAACTCTCGGTGAAGAGCAGAAATGAAAGCTATTCAGGGATAATATCCACGGCCCTCAGCTTGGCTGCTTTAGCACTGAACAGATTTCAGGGGGTTGACCAGATTCAACCAGGAACTGGATGATCTCTGAGATCCCTTCCCAGCCAAAGCATTCCATGGATTTCCATGGATTTCTAGGGTGCCGTACCCAGCCTCCTTCACGTTTACACCAACAGCACGGGACCAGAAAGGCCTTTCCTGCACCTCCTGCAGGAAAACCCTGCTCTCCAGAAGTCATCACCTAGTTAGCAGCCCTTGGAAAGGGAAAGGCAGGATGAGCTGGGCATGGCAGCCAAGGCCGAGGCAGCAGATGTGCCCCCCGAGCTGGATCAGCCGGGAACGGGGAGCTTTACTGCACCTGTTTGAGCTGGAACAGAACAGAGCCGATTTCCCTGCAGCATCAACTGAGGAATTTTTCACAGGCACCATAATCCACCAGAAAATCACCTTAAGCAGCATCTACTCCATGAAAGGAGCCTGGAGGAATCTGCCCCTCCAGCCGGGGTCTCGTCCGACCCCGCCACGGCCAAACCACGTCTGCTAAAGGAGGGCAGCTGAGAAATGATTCCCAAAAGAATTCCAGACCTGGGAATGAGCTGGTTGCCAACAACAACAACAAAAAACCCAACAAACAAACCCCTCTCAGACGTTATTTTGCCCCCAGCTCAGGTCTCCAAAGCAGCAATCCCAAAAGTTCCTTTGAAAAACAGAGGGTCCGTAAGTCATTCCCTGCTTCCAAAGGCATCCTGCACCACAGCAGGTCATTCCCAGCTCCCCAAATTTACACTGTCCCACTCAACCAGATTAAAACTGCTTGTGTTGGATCAAGCCTGGAATTTGGTCCTCGTCATTTAACTCAGATTATGTTTTTTTTTTACCCCCCACCCCCAAATCATCTTTTTTAAGGATCATTTTTCTCAGTGGCAAATCCCTGGTTATTGTCAATAGGTTTGGCTTTTCTTCATCCAGACCCATCTCAAAACCAGGATGCTCAACTAAAAAAAAAAAAAAAAAAGGGTAAATTTGAAAATCTGGGGTCGATTTTTTTATATCTGAATTGTAAACAACTCATTTTTACTGTTGATAATAATAATATTAATAATAATAATAAAAGGGCCCCTTCTGACTAAACACTGACTGTTTCAGCAAGATTTTGTAACTGGAAGACAATGAGAATGTAATGTTTAGGACTTGTTTTGCATGTCTCCACATATATGAGTCAGTCACACAGAACAGAAGCTTGTTAAAAAAAAACAGATGACGGGTGCAACAATTATTTCCGTGGGTTTTTATTTCTTTTAATAGAAAATTCTAATATAAAACAACAAACGTTTTCAGTTTGCCTTGTTTACAAAAATATTATATATTTATTATTTTTTTTATATTTCTGACATAACTAAATGCACTATTCAATAAAAATATTCTTCCATCAGCTAAATTCTCTTTTTTTTAAAAAAAAAAAAATTAATAAAAAAGTTATATAAATAATGGTTGCACCACCCCCCCAACCCCAAAAACTGATCTCACAAGTCTTGCTTGATCAGCTGAGGAGAACCAACACTATTTTGGGGGACACAGGGGGTGGAAAGGGGGCAGAGATGTCCCCTCCACCCACCTGTTCCTTCTCCAGTTACATCTGAGCACAAACCTGTTTCTCTGGGGGTAAGAAAAAAGGGGGAAAGTTGCTTTGCACTTTTTGTTGTCTTTTTTTTTTTCTTTTTTTTTTAATATATCTATGAAATAACACCAGGGACCCAAATCCTCTCTGGTGGTAGTTTTACCAAAAAAAAAAAAAAAAAAAAGGAGTAATTCCACTGAACTGCACTGGAGATCCAATAGTGGAGGGAGGGGGTGGAGTGGAATCACCTCTCTGGAAAAATCCAGTTGAATGCAGGTGGAACAAGGAAGGTTTGGGAGCAGCACAAGCAGAAGCTGCTCCTGCAGGAGTTCATTCAACTCCAACACACCTCAAGGACCACCAGCAAAACCCCCCCAGCGCTCAGGAGGGCTCTGAGGTGGTTTTACATCTTCTCTCCTTTCCATCCTGCGGGATTTTTCCAAACCAAGGCTTTCCCCCCCCTCCCCTCCCAACCCCATTCTTTCCTCAAGGATAAGGCAAACGTTGGAAAACGCTGGAATTAAACACAACCCCCCCCCCTCCCAAACACGGTGCAGGGAGAGGAGGGGAGGGGGGAGAAGAAAAAATAACCCACATCTGTTTTACCACCCTAGGTCGGAAGGCCAAGAAGACAAGTTCTCCTGATTGCAGAGTGTTAGTATATTTTATACACTATACATTTAACACATGTGCCTCGCTACTGTTTAGTTATTTATAATTATTTTTTTGTGTGTGTGTTTTGTTTTTTTTTTTTGTTTGTTTAACCACAGGAGAATAAACCTTGCTATTTACAATATACAACATTATAACAACATTAAAACATAAATACAGTTTGGAGGGGGGGATTTTGTGGTGGTTTTGCATTATTTTTTTTTCTCTTTTTAGTTTTTTTTTCTTTTTTTTTTTTTGTAAATACTTACAGAAAGCATCCAGACTTCAGTGCTGAGTTCTAACACACAGAAGAGCTCTTTCACTCAGTAGTTCATTCACTCTTTGCTGCTTGGACAATCTGCCTTATTTCCCACCCAGCTCTCTCTCTCTCTCTTTTCCCACACCAAACACACCCAGCTTCCCTATCCCAGCCCACTCCAGTATTTTCTCTCCGAGGATATTTGTGCCACCACCACCCTCTCCTCTGTCCTAGGGACTCCTTCTCCTCTCACACCAGTGCAATGTGGATTTACTCCAGCGAGGTCAATGGAGACAGAGACACCAGTGAAAAGAGGCAAAATGAGGCCCATGGTTTAAATATAACAATAATAATAATTAATAATAATAATAATAATAATAATAATAATGCACGTAAGTTGCGGCCCATCCTTTAATTAAGGACTTTCTTTTTTTTTTCTTTTTTTTTTTTTTTTTTTTAAATAAAAAGACTGGAGCCAGAAACAGGAATTCAGAGACCCCCCAAAATTCCTCGTGTCTTGAGGAGGTTTTGGGCCCAGCTTTACTTGGGAGCAGGGGGAGAGCTATCCTAAAACACACACAAAAACCTAACAGTGAGTTTGCACAGACGTGTGAGAGAGAGAGAGAGAGGCAGAGGGAGACAGAGAATTTAACATAATACCACAATGAAACCATAAGAAGGTCCTTCTGAAGGGCTTTACAATAAATAAATGTCCGTTCAATATTTATATATATATATATATATATATTTATGTGTCGGCATGTGTGTATATATAAATATATATATACATATACACACGTGCACGCTGAATTAGAAGTTTCTAGCCTTGTTTATTTTTATAAACCATCAGATAAACTGCTCGTGGGTGACTTTCAAAGCACTGCATCCCCTCCCCCCACCCAAAAAAAACAACCAACCAAAAAAAAAACAACTAGGAGACCTTCCCACGAGGTGGAAGGTGGGAATTCCACCACCATTCCTCCTCCAGCACTACCCAAAACCTTGGGAATTGTACAGCAAGTCAGAAAACAGCCAAAAAGAGCCAAGGTCGCTTCACTTTGCAGGGTGCCATTGACACCCCCCGTCTCTCCCCACGCCCCCAAATCAAGATCTGATGCCATGGGGCCAACCAGGCTGGAACTGCAGGTGTTTGTCAGCAAGAAAAAGCAAACCAGATCTTTTCTCCTCCCAGCAGATGCACAGGAACAGCTTCAATTAGTGGCTACTGTTTGTGAGGTGAGGGGAAAAAACCCACAAAACTAAAGAAAAAATAAGGAGAAAAAAAGGCTTTGAAAAAATAATGGTCCATCTAGGAAAACTGCTCTCATTTTCCTCGCTGATTTCTACTCATGGTTGAAAAATTCTTCTTTTGAGAAACGGACTGAATGGCTTACACAGAACTGGTGGAAACTGCTGCTGGACAACAAAAATTGCCACCAAAAAATCCAACTAAACGCACTCCACACTCCGTTGTTCCCTTAGGAAGCTTCCTTGGGGCATCCACTGGCTGCTTCCAATCCGCTTTTATCCGAGGGAAGAATATTGTTGCATCAAACCCTGGAGTCTCCTCTTCCAAGGGAAAAAAAAAAACCAAGAAAAGCTGAAGGTTGTCATCTGTTTCACAGCACTGGGATTGATCTACCACTGCAGTCAAATTCCTGCCCTCTCTGGCCACTTGCTGCTTTGTCTCCGTGTCCGTTGGTTATTCCCAAATCCAAGAGTTTGCATTTTGAAAGCACAAGCTCTCGATCTAGTGGTTAAAAAAAAAAATAAAAAATAAAAAAAATAAAAACCTTAAGGTCATAGGGTTTCCATACAGCTTGTGTCAGGTACCACTGCCATGGTTCAGAGAAAATGGAATGATGACCTAGGGAAGGAAAAGTCAACTCCTCCAGAGGTCTGATCCAGGCCCAAACTGCTGCTGTACGATGCAGGACAGCCCTGGCTTCCAAGAGGCACTTGGAGGTTTTTTTCTCTTGTCCTCCTCAAAAACACAAGTCCCAGTTCAGCTGGCACGAGACTGAATAAAGTTCCAGATCCAGAGGCCTGAAGCGGTTTCCACAGGGTGAATATTCCATCAGCAAGAGGTGGGAAGAGGAGAGGGGGAAAAAAAAAAAAAAAAATCAATCATGCACAAAAATGAGGCCAAATATCTAGTGGTTCTTTAAAAAAAAATTATAATAATAATAATAATTAGATTTAAGACAGAGATAGTGCTAAAGAACCTGCATTTGGAGAAATTGTTTTAAATATAGAACAGGTGATTGGACTGGAGGGGACAGGCACGGCTGGTTTTCCACTTGTCTTCCCAACCTCTTCCTTGGACGCATTTCTGTCTGCAGCGTGGTGGACCCAACTTTAGCTGTCACTAAAGAGCTGACCCTCCCAGTGGGTCTCTTTGTCAGAGCCTTGTTTGCTCCATGTGCAGGAACTCCACTGGGAGAACCGTCGGGAACCATCACTACCCAACACTCCTCTCTCCAGTCTGGGGAGAAACGAACCATCGTGCTCAGGGCAGAAAGATCTTCCTTTTGTAGCTGCTCAGCTCTGCGAGCAGCTGGAGAAGCTCCAGGAGTAAAGTAGAACAGATAATTTAAGCCCAAGAGAAATCTGTCAGCCCGGGGGGAGTTCACAGAGGGTCGGCGAAAACAACCGAGATGTTCCAAGGAAAGGCGATCCGTCAAAACTGCGTGGACGACCGAGGTGAAGGACCACTGGTGTCTGAGCCCAGTGGGACAGGCACTTATTTCCACATGGTTGGACCTCATCGAAATTCAGTCTACAGGAAAAAAACACCGAAAAAAACCCCAACAAACAAAACAAAAGAAAAAAAAACACCCCACAAAAACAACAAACAAACAAAAAAAAAAACCAAAACAGAACAAAACAGCAACACAGCTGGGTCACCTGTACCCTACAAAGTGCTCATGTCTCAACACAGCGTTCAGATCCCAGAAGGTCCGTCACAAACCCTGTTTCGTCTCCGTCCGCGGTCCGCCCGTGGCCCGAGGGTTCTCCCCGCCTCGGGCAGAAGGAAGGGCGAGGACAGCCCCGGGGCCCGCGTCAGTCCTTGCAGGTGTAAACCTCCTCTCTCTGGGTGCACTGCTTGCACTCCACGTAGCAGCACCACCGCACCTGGCACTGGCACGGCCGGGTCACCACCCGGCTCTGCGTGTTGTGCCCGCGGCCGCAGCAGATGCTGTCGCAGTTCTTGTCCTTGTAGCACTTCCTGCCCGAGGTGCCCGGCGAGTACCGGCTCATCATGCAGAAGCTCGGGGAGTCGTCGATGTAGACGAGGTCTGTAGTCCTTGGGATTTGATCGCTGTGCCCCGGGGAGGATTTCTTGGGCGGGGAGATGTCCCCTTCCCCCGTGGCCTCGTTGGTGGTGCTGCCCACCTTGAGGGACGTCTCGTACTTCTGCTTCAGCTGCTTCCCGATCTCGTGGAAGGGGGAGAGCTGCCTCCAGCACGTGCGGACGGTGCAGGACCCCGACACGCCGTGGCACTTGCAGGTTGTCTCCACCCCGGCCTTGATGACCTGCAGACAACACACGGGCCCCAAGAGACAAGTCAGTTACGGGGGAGGGAATCAAAACACCCACCGCAATCAACGTCTGCTAGGAGACATTTCGGGAGCGCACCGAGGCGACGACAATTCGGAAGGCTATCTGCTGGAAGGGGAGAGAAAAATCATCATCCTCCAGGAAATACCTGTTCTAGGAGGGTCCCAGTTTTCCAGAATGTGACATCCACCTGCCAGAACTTTGCTAATTGGTAGTACTAGAAAGGTGCGCAAAGGTTGTCCAGTGCTGCCACTCATCCTGTGGGCAGAGATCTGAAACCGTGAGGCAACTGAGAGATTAATATGTATTTTAACACTTATTTATCTGTGTCAGTAATAACATGCAGATAAGTTGTGGTGGAAGTGGTAGGGGCCAGTTTAGTGGACAGAGGTGGGAGGCTCCAGAAGAGGGGCATGGGCAGCAGGAACCTTCTCCACACCACAACACACTGGAACCATCCCTAAACTCAAGCAATTCGCAGCACAGGCTCAGTGAGAACGTGGACAAGCTGTGCTGTTCCCACCAGCAGTGGCTGGGCTTGACATCCCACCCAATTCTCTTCGTGAGTGGGGGAAAAACATTCATATAGCTGAAATAAATAGATATAAATATATAAAAAAACTTGGGAGAACAACAGCCTGAATCACCATCAACAAAAGCAGCTGCTCCCAAAACATCCACGGAGCTTCCACCACTCCGACCTGTGTTCAGGATATTATTCCAGACTGTGGCACTACTGAGTGCAAGGCTTAGTTTCAAATCCTTTCTTAACTGATTTGGTTTATTTATTTTTAAAGCTCAAAATCTTGCAATGGGCATTGTCACAAAGAGTAAGACTCATCTCTCAAGCCCCTTAAAAGGAGAAATAATTTGTTCAAAACATCAGAAAGCAAATGTCTGATTTATTCCCAAAACAAAAATATCTGATTTACTCCCAAAACAAAAAGAATCGAGTCTCCACGGAGCAAAATGTCCAAATCCTGCTTTGGGGGGAGCTTGGATGGGGATGGTTCTCATCAGATCACCACAAAGTGTAAATGGAGAAGAGATATCAGAGCCAGTGGAACCACAGTGTTCACATTTGAGATGGAGGGAACAGAGAGACAAGGTTATTTTCAACAGGAAAAGCAGCACAGGGAGGAGAAGCAATATCAGGAAGGGAAGAGAAAACAAGGAGAGAGTCAATGGTTACTCATCTTGGAGAGAGATGAAGGTGGTAACAGCCCCTGGGTGCTGTAAAGGACCCCAATCCCAAACCCATCAACTGACTGATGCTCAACAGAGGATCCCATCCTTTGCAAATGAGGCTGCAATAAAGATGCTTCATGGCACAAGAGCACATCCACCTCCTTAGAAATGGCATTGGGATGTCCCAGCCCACCTCCCACAGAGAGAGATTTACACCTGGGACCGTTCCACGGGCTGCATGGGAGCAGAGACATGACTTGGACAGTCACAGATAACCTGCCTTCTGTCCACAGGTTATAAACTGATATTTATAGTTCTAATTCTCCCTTCCTTCCCTCCCCCCCCAAATAAGTTGCATTTTGACTTTAAATGGGTAAGGTACAGCCAACCCCTAAAATAGCAGATAATAAGGGGGTTTTTTTACAGAGCTGGCTCCTAACGAGGTCCTGCTGAAAGTGCCCTTCCTTTGGGCATCCGTGGTATTCGACGGAGGAGAAAACAACCTCCTCCTCTGCCCATTGTGGCATCTGCCCACGTTGTGGCCTCCTGACAGCACAGCACTGGCTCCAATCCACTTCCTGACCATCCGGCCCTTAATGATTTGGCTGCAGGAATCCTGCTGAGCTCCATGTGCAAATGCGCGATAGGTCACGGACTCGGAATTGGGGCCCGGCCCAATCCCGATATTCCAGAAACGTTTTTAGAAAGACAATACGCATCACACAGCCCGGCCAGTGGTCACACTTCATTCCTGTGACAGCCAAGACCTTTTCCAATGCAACCCAGTAATCCACAGTAGCATTCAGACGAGTGGGGGGTTACAGAGGGGGATGTGTTGCTGCTCAGAGCGCTCAGCTGGGCCGGCCTGGTTAAGGGCTGTCACGCTCCTGTGTGCCAAAGTGTCTGGCCAAGTCCACAAGAAATCCCACAATGTCAGACAAGAGTGTACAGAACACGTTTCAACAGCGAGGAGGAAGGAGGGGGGGTGAAAAATCCAGCCCTCACCCACAGGGTCCCTCATGTGAAGTCACATTTCACTGCCTGTCCAGCAGCGAGAGCTGAGTTCATGTGAAACAAAGCTCCTCCACCTGATTTCACACCCAGGCCATCAGCAAAAAATTGCTGGGGTCCTCGGAGAAGGGCTGCACACTGCAGTCATTCATCAGCTCAGGCTTTTCTCAACCCTTCCACCCCCCTCCTCGAAGCTTTTGCATCTGCTCCACCTGGAAAAGGAGACGCCCACCACTGTACAGGAGATGGGAAAGCAAGAAACCAACGGGAACTGGCTCAGCTGGCAGACAAGCTCCTGGATTTAGAGCTGACTGAACAGGACAGGGTCAGGAAATTCAGGAAGGGAACCCGGAGATGGGGCTGTTCTGGTCAGGAGCCACCTCTCACCAGAGCTCTGTGGGAGGGCTGGCATTGCAGGTTCAGCACTGCCAGGGTACCCACATGGGGCTGGTAGAAAGGGCACAGCACGTGTCAGAAAACCAGATCCCGATGGATTGGCAGCTGGTGGATGGAGCCAGGAATAAGCATGTGGGTTTAGGCACTCAAATCACAGCAGCCAGCCAGGGTTGACCTCACTGAGGCAAACATTTTAAACACCTACACTTGAGGAACACCTCTGAACTCCCATCTGACCCAGCAGCGCCAGAGCAGGCAGAGGATCGTGCAGTGAGGCAGCACCTGCTCCACTGAACAGCTCTCCAGGCTCCCACCAAGTGTCCTCACCACATCCCTACTCCCCAAGGAGAGCCTGGGGACCCAGCTCACACACACAGAGGCACCTCAGTTTAGCCATTCCCACCTGGGAGCATCCCACCCTCTGGGACGAACCCAGGTGTTTAAATAACACTACTCCAAATAATGCTGCTGAAAAACATTGCTCTTCACCACCAGCTGCCCCTCCAGGGGTCTCTGAGAGGGTATCAGTGAGCATATTTAGGTGGATGAACCCGTTCTCCTCATCTGGGCTCAAACAAAGCCCCTAATGAATCCCAGCCTGGCTTTTCCTGACTCACTTCTAGCTCCTTGTTAAGCTGGGACAGCTCTGGTGTCACGCCCTGGTGGCCCCAAGCATAAAAGGTTCCCCTTGTCCCCGCTCCCATGAATGCGGCGGTTCACGGAACGCGGCGTGTGGCTTTTCACGCGGCCGCTGGGCGAGCGTGGGGCATCCCAACCGCCCCATAAACCCGCTCCTGGAAGGGCTGCGAATGACTCAAGAATGTTACGAGGCAGCAGAAGCGAAAATCCTGGAAAAACCTCCTGCCCAGCAGCCTCCCCTGCCGCTGTCAGTCACGCTGCAGCTCCCGCAGGCGACGCCTGACGGGGAACCGCCGCCCACGGGCCCCAAACCACCCACGAGCCAGAAGGAGCCTTGGCAAAGCCCCTCCTCTGTTTCTCGTCTGGCTCCCCAGCTTCCACAGAGACCTTCCCTCCTCTTGTTGCAAGCCCCTGTCACAGGCACTTAAATCCACCTCGTTTCTTCAGGAAGCAGAGCGAGGCTGATCCAAGTCAGCAGGTTGCTTGGGGCGCTGCTGGAGAAAGGTTTCCTGGCTTGGACCCTGGGACAAGTGGGGAAACGTCTAGATCATGCTTTCAAACCTGGAGGGGCTTCCAGGATAGAAGAAAATGGCTTTTATTAGCCAAAAAAGTCTAGGGGAGATGAGGCAGAATAAGATTTTATTATAAACTTATAATTTTGTGTTAAAGGTATCTCATAAGGAGGTAGTTCCTGCTTTCTTTTCAAGGCATATCACGGCTCAGAGCCAGATTTACTTCCATCCTACACAGACCTGAACCTCTCCTGAACCCACACAGCATCACCACTGAATAACCATTTCATCCACACCAAGGAAATGGCCACCTGAAATGCCTCTACCTTCTCACAGACGTGAGGCAGAATGAACTCAATTCAATCCAAAGCACAAAGTATTTCATTTTGCTCCCTCTGCTCCAAACTCCACAGCAGAGCTGTAAACTCAGGAGTAGAAACAATAAGCAGTATCCTTTGTGTTTTATGCTGTGAAGAGCTTCCACCATGAAAACAAAGCCAAACAAAGCCAAACAAAGCCAACTAGCGGGTCAGGGATAGCACCACACACGGAAATTATGTCCTCCCTCTCTCCTCTGAACAACCACCTGGTCTTGGTAGCCTCAAACAGAGTAGTTTGGGAGGGGATTGAAGCTTTTTTGAGCTAATCAGCTTGACTTAGGAACACACATTGCCATTGATCTCGCTGTGAGAACACCAAACACCGACAAAGGCGGAACGAGGAAAACAAAGCCAGACAGAACCATCTTTCCTGGCGTTCGCCGCTCTGAGGAAATCAGATAGGGCTGCTGGACTGGCTGCCCAAATGGCTTTACAAGAGCCATGGGGAGAAGGGATCACAGCAGAGCATTGCTATGCAACATGTAATCCTTCCTCCCAACAATGGTTTCGCTGCGAAGCTCAGACTAAGTGCCCCCGTAATGATCAGTCTCAGACATGCTGCAACACACAATTTCTCAGTGTTTTAGCTGAGGACAGATTCCCATTCATTCCCAGCTGGGTCACGGGGCCCTGGCCGTGGTTTTCAGACAAACTCTTGTCTGGGCAGCAGCAGTGGGAATTCCTGGGTTATGGCTCCGCTGTCGTCATGGCTGGGCTGCGGCTCCGAGGCTTCCGACCATTCGCTATGGTCGGGGCAGAGCAGCCGAGCCCTCCCCGGAGCCAGCTCATCCAGGGAAAAAGCCTGCCCAGGGCTCCAGGAAGGGCTCAGGGATGCTTCTCCACAAATCG